ATGACAAATGATGAAAATTATGTGATGGTTGGGCAAGATCTGTTGGTATTTACATTATTGACATTTCTAACAAATTGAACCCTAAATTATTCCAAATAATTTCAGCTCCACTTGATTCACTTAGTCTCATTTTATCTAAAGATTCATAGTAATAGTATCTTTATTATTCTAATGGAAATTCGTTACTAGCCTTTAAAAAATCTGAACCAAATTTAAATTTAGATGTACCTAATATATTGAATGTACAAAAATCGACTAGCGTTAATGCAGGAAACAGTAAATGGAGGTGGACAGGAGCTGTAGAAATAAATAATTAATTTCTCTTTTAGAGTTCTTAAGATTAAGGCTTGGCAATAATGGATTTGAGAGTGTCTCCACAGCTTATGACTCCAGCATATTAAATACCAGTTAATATAAGTGGAGGATCTGTAGATTCATTTTTTCTCTTTGGTAAGAACCAAATTTATTTGGCAGTCCCTATTCAAACTTTGACAACCATGATGAATATATATAACATAACAGATAGAAAAAACCCTATTTTAATTTAATCTATGCCATCTGATGACCCTTCTTATTCATATTCTATGGACATGAGCGATGATGAGACACTCTTTGTGTTTGATAACAATTTTAGCTTTGTCTTATTTAATAGTACAACAATAGGTAAATTTATATAAATTAGCTAGTGGTAATTCTAAAATGGAGTATTTGGCGGTATTGCAAACGGATTGATTATTTCTCATGATAGTAATTTTATTGTAGCTGTAGAAAGAGCTAGTGTTATTTGCGTTGTGGATATTTCAAATAAGAAAAACCCACAATTAGCTAGTTTTTCTAGAACCAATGGAGGAGAAAATATTATAAAAGCCAAATATGGCTCTAATAAACAATATGCTTTCATAGTGCAAGGCTTATATGGTATTGATGTAATAGACATGAATTCTCTTCCTGAACTAAATATTGTAAGCAGAGTTTAGATTCAGGGTTATTCGAACTTTATTTCTCTTATATAGAATAACACATATGCACTAGTGAGTTAGCTAGACATTGGTGAAATTAGTTTGGTTAATTATACAGATATTACTCAACCAAAAATAGTAAGCACATTCTAATATGTTAATGAGCATGCTGCTTCTGTATGCGCTTCACCTATAGAA